GCCAGAACTGAGTTGTTATCAGCCATGCTCTGGTCGATAGAAGCCTTTGATTGGTTTCTAAGCATAAAGCTGCATAAGGAACACAAGAGGGAAGTCCAAGAATTTTCCACAAGAATCTGGACTGAATTCTTTCCAAGTCCCCATTTAAGGCTTCAATCCAGATTGATACTCCATAGAAAAATTGAGCAGCTAATTTGGCATTAAAAACTTTAAGGACCGCCGGCACGTACTGGTTACCCCTGGTATAATGGAAATGTTTGCGGAAAATTGGAATTTTGTCAGGTCACCAACATTGTTAAGTCTAACTTGGCAGGTCATATTATGATGAAGCTTCATTATTAAATGTAAAAGCCTCAGTTCCATCCCCATCAACTTAAGTTTCTGAAGGGAGCCCTCACTGGAGAAGACCCTGATGCTGGGAATGATTGAAGGTAAAAGAAGAAGGGGACAGCAAAGGATGAGATGGTCAGACAGTGTTATCGATGCAACGAACATGAAATTGAGCAAACTCCAGAGGACAGCAGGAGGGCCTGGCATGATGTGGTCCAAGGGGTCGTGAAGAGTTGGACTTGACTGTGTGCCTGAACAACAACAACAAGAGGCCGTTACAACACGATCCTATAGAAAGAACGTTTTTATACTTGCAATCAGAATTCTATTGCGGATCTAGGCCATGTGGTCTTTTACTGCCCAAGATTTGCATTAGAACGCAAAAGTTATCTTGGGAATGTTTTATTACAATGTCCATGGAAAGTGGATAATGATAGAGTAACAATTTACTTGCCAACAAGAATAAATGGATAGCGATGCAAACAGCAAAAATTTGTTTTTTTGTTGCAAGGGTGATCGAGTCCTTACCAAAACCATCCACTGTTAATGCAGCTGATGGATAGATCTATGTATTTTGTCAACTTTTTTGCTTGAATTGATGTTGGTTTTAAACTCAGATTTTTGTTGTGATCTAAATGATTGTTTATAAAATTATGCATATTAAAGTTTTTATTGTTATTGTTGCATTATAACTCTGGTGTTGGTATTTTTTGTGTTAATTGCTAAGGCTGTGCGCTCACGCAATAAAACTTATGACTGATTGATTGAAACCGGGGTGTCTGTGTTCAGGTTAATAAACCAATTTCAAATCCTGGTTTGATGGACCCTAACTAACCATAGTTAATGGAATGGCCTGCTTTCAGCTGCACTCCCGATGGTTAGTTCAATTCAACCCTGGTTTTGTATGATGTGTAAACTGAGCCATATTGAGGCCCTGTCAAAGCATCCCAGCAAAATGCAAGTTTAAGCTTTTGTATTTTTTTTTAACAATTCCATTCTCACAGGTGGAAAAATAGGAAAGGAATGCCTCTGTTTGGCTGATAACACGCATGATAGGTGGGAGCTGGAAGTACAGAGATCAGTTCCCCCGGAGGAAATGGCAGCTTCAGAAGGCAGATGCTACAGTCTCACATCCCCGCTAAGCTGCCTTCCCTCCCCAAACTCCTGCCTCCCCAGGCACTGCCCCCAAATCTCCAGGAATATCCCAAGCCAGAGTTGGCAACCCAGGCATGTGGCCCAAGTACACCTGACTCCCCCACGCATAATTTTTCTCTGGAATTGTTGCTTTTACAAAATGCAGCTGCCATCTTCAGTGGAAGAACCTGGGCAATCTTCGCCTGTGATGTTTTGTGCTATTAATTCCCTCATCCAAACTGCTCCCCCCACCTTTGCACAGGAGAAGAACCATGAGGGCACTTCCCCTGGGCCGAGTCTTCTGCTGAAGATTGCAGTCTCTGCAGCTGTGTTTTGTAAATGATGAAAATCCTGGACAGAAACTCCCCACAAACATCACATTGAATGCGATTGCTGCACATTGAACAGTTAACTGTAATGGACAGACCTACTGCCCAAGAGCAAATCGTGCATGTTTTCGAAGTGTTGCAGCATATTCCATAGTTCCTCCTCTGTGTGAAACAACTGCCCCTTAATGAAGTCTTGCTGCAGGATCTTGTGAAGAAATTCTTGTCTGCTTACTCTGCATGTCCATGCACATATTTTGCCTTTGTAAGTGGTGCATAATACATAAAATATGTTAAAATGTCTCTCTTTGTTGAAGTTCCCTCGCTTCCGCTTGCAAAAATAAGCATTGTGATAATCATTCTGATTCCTGGTCCACAGGATGAATAAAATATCTTCCATGGGGCAGCAGTCCAGTTTGCTCACAACAGAGTCTGTAAAAATAATTCAAAGTTAATGAGCCCCAAGACAAAGAAGTTCTTCATATATTTAATTCTGAAACGGAGATCTTCAAAGCTCTCTATGAATATACAAACCTGCTTTTCCAGGCAAACTCTTTGGGTAGATTTCAGGAATCTCAGACCCAAAGATAGGGCCCACTGTACACATTTAGGTTTTTTAGGTATATATATATTTGAAGTATTTTGCTGCACTTTGTTTTATACATGTAGTTTTATGATGTATTTTTTGTTACACTATTATAATTGTTAGCCATTTCTGATTGGGCAGAAAGGCAGGATTTAAATGTTGTTATTAATAATAATACTATGTGAATGAGACAAATGCCATTACTTTCCCCAGCCTGGATTCTCTACAGCTCCCCTCCCTACTGAATACTCGGAGGCACACCTGGATTTGCTACTGTGTGTTGTGTAGTAACACCAAGCATTATTAAGAGCTAGTGTGTTAACAGACAAGACTGAACCTTCATTTAACAGTGTACAGATGACAAAATATGGCAGGAATAATCCTGCTATATCCAAACATTCTCACACTATTTCTATAAACAGAGGTGCGTGGGGGGGAGTATTAATACTCTTCTGCAGCCTGTATTACCTTCCTATCCCTTGTTTGGATCTTTTGTTCTTCATAGGTGAAGTGGGACTCTTGGTGTGCAAAATCACACGCTTTGCTCCATTTAGTGGCTATGTGGGGGCAAAAAGCCAGACGGAAAAGAAGAAGTTAAGAGATGTCTTCCAGAAAGGGGACGTGTACTTCAACAGTGGGGATCTTCTAATGATTGATCACGACAATTTCATTTATTTCCATGACAGAGTTGGAGACACATTTCGGTGTGTTTGCATATTTATTTATACAATTAGAAATTTTAAAAAGTTGATTCTTAATACTTCCTAGGCCATAGCCCCCAGAGTGAATGCATGGAGCTAATCTCTGGCTGATCAGCCATTTTTATGTGCAAGCAATGCAACTGGGGGATCACTTCCTCATACACAATGCAAGTTAAGTCTTGGTGGCACACAACTGAATATGTGAGCTTCCTCCATTGAAGAATGTTCTTTTGGAAGTGAAGTGACAGTTCTGTCTGGGATGTTTGATCAGCATGGCTGACTTGCAGTCGGTGATGAACGCACTTACATGAGCTTGCTCTCAGGTTCACTAGCATACTGAAATGGTAGCATGAATTAACCTTGAAGGCTATTCCTTATGACTAAACAGGCATGGTAAAAGTTGTGACTCTGAACTGAGTTCAATCCTGTGATAAAAATGACCATGTGACTGCTTTACCATGCAGCCAGATTCAGGCAAGGTCCAACACGGGCCATCGGTTTAGTTGATGTTGAGAGAGCAAGTTTTGTGATTGGGTGTCCATGTGTACCCAGTACTGTTGACTTAATAATGTTAAACTTCTACTTTCCTATACTGTACCTGGTGCAAAAGGCAATATGCCACAATAAACTATTTGCGATGCAATCCACTATTCCTCAGTGTTCAGATTGTGCAGTCAAGACTCCCTGGATGCACAGGGTTGAGCTGTGATCGTCCACAGTTATGTTGCTTATTGCTCCTTTATAGTGGCTACTAATTTGAATGCAGACAGCATCCAGTTTAATTACAGAGCATACACAAACCAGCTGAACAAAGGCACCGAACCCCAAATTGAAATATAAAATTTGTAACAGGTTTTTTAAAAAATGTGTTGTTTCCCAGTGGTCTCTGTGCAAGATACTGATCAGTTCTATACCAGCCTAGCTACAACAGTGTTGAAGCTCACATGGCCATAAAGGGCCAAGTTTGCATCAGTGTGGTCATATAAATAGCTATTTACCTCATGTTTGCAGCAAACTCAATAAAGGAAGCCACAATCCTCAGTTTGCAAGAGGGGAGCAAGGCTGTTAATGATAAGACATTTTTGAGGCCATTAATTCATAATTCATAAGTCGGAAGCGACTGGACAGCACGTAACACAAACACAGAGCAGCAAATTTTCTTTGAAAAGAAGAGGCGCACGTGTGTGTGTGCATATTTATTTTTTCCTTTTTTTCCCAGATGGAAAGGAGAAAATGTAGCTACAACAGAAGTGGCTGATATTTTAGGACTACTGGAATTTATCGAGGAAGTGAATGTTTACGGCGTACCTGTGCCAGGTAAAATCTGGATAAAGCATTTTTGTACTGTAGGCAGGCTTTGTATTGGCAGCAAAATAGAGCGACATGTAGGACTAAGGATTAGACAGATTCATGGAGAATCTGCTTATTGGCAGCTGTTAATCGTGATAGCGAATTGGGGACCCTGTGTCCAGAAGCAATATACCAGGAGCTGGACATACTAAAGGACTTCCCAGAAGCATCCAGTTCGGTTCTGTTGGGAACAGACTGCCAGCCCAGATGAACCCTTGGTCTGATCCAGCAAGAATGTGACTACCTCAAGGTCACCCAGCAAAGGGTAAAGGATAGCAAGTATTTGAATCTTGGTTTTCACAGACCCTGGTCCAACACTCTAACCACTTCATAAAGTGTCTTCTGCATACGAGTTTTGTTAGAAGTGAAGATTCCCTTTCATATCCTACAGTTGACCAATTGCCTGATTAGAGATTGGAGCTGGAGCCATATGCAAAGCAGTGCGGAGCCAAGTTAAATAAGTGTTGCTGAAGAAACGACGGTAATATGGTGGGGAGGGAACGAGAGAGCAGAAGCTATAAATGGCTCTCCTCACGTTTTAAAATTTTACAGTATTGTTTATAATAATACAGTTTTCTGTAATGTATGAGGAAAACAGCAAACTATGTGGTTTATCGCTGCGTGTTCCATTTCTTTTTTGCCAAGATATGGTAAGGTATGATTATGTGTATTCAAACCTGTTTTCCTGTGTGCCTCCTTTGAAGAGGTAAACACCTAATTGCCATGGGAAAGAGCAAGAGAATGGTGTGATAGCCCACAGTTCCTTAATGCTCTTCACCAGTTACATCATAATAGATGATGTACGTAGTTCAGGCACCATGGGATTTATAAAACCAAGTGGATGAGTTATTAATGTTCAGTTACAAACTGGGCTTGCAGGTGAAAGACAGGGAGTGGTTGAAAACCCTCATTGTGGGTCTTTTGTGTGTTTCTTTTAGAATGGATTATATATATTGAGTATCTGGTTTTAAAGACATAGGTACACAGACTTTTGAAAGGCTGCTCTAATCCTGTATATTAAAATGCAAAGACCAAAGATTCTGTCCAGGCTGCCATATGTTTTGAGCATTCATATTCCATGCCAGGTGTTTCTTTTCTTGAAACAAAAGATATAGACCAGTACGTAACAAAATATTTTGCAGTATCAACTGAGCAACGGTAGAGGTATATGTACATTCAACTCTAGGCAATAAAGAGCTCTGGAGGAGGCCAGCCGCCTCCAAACCATTCAAGGCCCTCTTTATTGCTAGCGGAAACATGCAGGCAACATTCTCAGAGATAAGAACTGCCGCTACTTTCCAGTATTTTGCCCACTAATTGAAAAGCATTTTGCATGTATTAAGTCTTACATTTATGCTCTATCCAATGGTAAGTTTAGATTACTTTTGTATTTAGAGTTATGCTGTTGTATGTCAATCTAGGATTTACCTTCTTTCCCACTCACCCCCACGTACCCTCGACATCCTTTTCCAAATAACTTCGGGCTACACATCTGGTGCTGTTTCACAAATGTGTCATAGAAAATACTGTGAGCAGTTTCTTCAGTTTGTGTCACATTAGAAATATGCTAACCTTTGCATAATATCCTTCCCTTGTTTATTTTTGGATAAATACCTTCCCATCGTCCCCTACCCCACTCACTGCAGTCATCTCTAAACCTACATTTTACTCATCACCTCCTTTGCTCTGAGAATCTTTTTTCCTTTAAAAATAACTGACTTTGCTTAGCCTCCCCAGTTTCTATTAAAGGAGCCCTCTACTCCCTGTATAATAACAGAGGGCTGTGAATGAGATGATATTTAAAAGCCACAAAGAGGAAATACCTTGCTTTGCAGGTGAGCCCCCCCCCCCCCCCGTGCTCTGCTACAATCTGCTGTGCAGGTGCAAATTGTATTGTAGTGTTTGCACTAATAACCCAATGTTCTATCTTCAGAACAATAATACAAAGGACTAAATTACAAGGACTGCTCTGGCTTATTTCACCAGAATATAGACTTCACAAGACATTTTCTGTCCCTTGCAACAGATATATTATTAACATCATTGTAAATACTTCTGGCAAAATTCTTAGCTGATGCTGAAGTTAAGAGCAACCATCAGCGGTTCACTATTTGTATTTGTCTCTGTGTTGGGGTGTGTGTGTCTTCCATTGCCACATCTCTACAAATATGAAAAAAAAAAAACCTTCACAAAGCCCTGGCCTGATCACCTAGCCAGAGAAGGACTCCTCCCTTCTTTTGGCTACATGAACATTGTATGAAGTCTGCTTGATCTTCCTAATGGGGTGGGGCGGGGAGGGCAGCGTCTGTTCAAACAGCTCATTTGGGCTTGGTCAGAAGGGATTCAGGCAGAGGTCTCATCGAGGGGGAGCGCTCCGGTACTGCGCTCCGGGAGAGAACCTCCGGGGGGGCGGTCACGTGGTGAAGCCCCGCCCCCTTCTTACAGCCCTCTGCTTTGATCCTCATTCTGGTGGAGAATGAGGACGAAGCAGGAGGGTAAGTAGCTGCCTTGCCTTCCTCCCCCCCCACCCCATAGATGCTCCCTCCCAGCTGCGTGCAGCAACCGGGAGGAGGGCCCACCTTCCCCCCCTCGTTCTCGCTGCTCCCGAAGCAGCGAGAACGAAGCCCCAAGCGTCCCTCTGCCTTTGCTCTCGCCGCTCAGGAGCTCTGAAGAGACAGGGAATAAATATAAATGTTTGTGGTTAAACAAGGAGGGAAGGGAGGCTCTTCACAAAATGGCTCCTCAGGAACACTGTCTCCAATGAGGATCAGGACCCAAAAGAAATTCTGTCTGTCATCTGTCTGTCCATCTGTCATCTATATCTATCTGTCTATCTTCTATCCATCTAATAGTTGGAGGCCTTGTGCCTCCTGGCCTACCTTGTTCAGTCTGTCTCTGGCCTTGCAGTCTGCTGGGCCCAGCTGAGGCCTGCTCTCCACTGGGAAATCCTCCTGAGGTGGCAGCAGTCCAGTCAGGGAATAGGAGTCTTCCTCAAGGGCTTTTTACTCCAAAAGTGATATTAGCCAATAGGAACCAACTCCCTCCCAGGAATCCTGGGAACTGTAGTTTGGCAGTGCAGAGGCCTGAGCCTCCACGTGAGGCCTGAAGATCTCCCACAATTACAACTGTTTTCCAGACTACAGTTTCCCTGGAGGAAATGGATGCTGTGGCATCACATCCTCACTGTGCTCTGTCTCCAAACTCTACTGTCGGCTACACCCATGATAAAAAGAAAGGACCGGGAGCTTGCACCAAAGAGCAGCCTGCAAGGAGGATTGGGGGCCTGGCCTCTGTCTTCCCAAACTGCATGTCTCTTCCAACAGCCTAAGAAATTTTATTGTGCTACCAGGGGCTAGGTTCTGCTGAAGGGCTGAGCAGTGTGGTGTAGTGGTTAAGAGCGGTGGACTCTAATCTGGAGAACCAGGTTTGATTCCTCTCTCCTCCACAAGAAGCCTGCTGGGTGACCTTGGGCCAGTCACAGTTCTCTCAGAGCTCTCTCAGCCCCACCTACCTCACAGGGTGTCCGTTGTGGGGAGAGGAAGGGAAGGTGATTGTAAGCCACTCTGAGACTCCTCGGGTAGTGAAAAGTGGGGTTAGGGTTGCCAGGTCCCCCCAGGGGGCGGGGAAACCCCCGCTCGAGAGGCCCGTTCCCCGCCGGCCCAGAACCCCACCCCCAAAGTGTGTGACGTGTGCAGTGTGAAGATGCCACCCAGAGGTGACGTCATCACATCGGGCATGTTACCGGGGGATGCTCTATCATTCGAGGGAAAACGTGCCCGACGCAATGACGTCACTCCTGGGTGGCGTCATCGCGGCGCGCACGAGAGAAGACTCCCAACCAGGGATGGGACTCCCCCCGCTTTCAGGTAATTTCAACTTGGCAACCCTAAGTAGGGTATAAAAACCAACTCTTCTTTTTCTCCTCCTCCTTTTCCTCTTCCTCCTCCTCTCAATCCCTGGAAGTTTAGGTGGTAGGGCAAGGGGTGGAAATGATATTGGGCTATGTGCCAATATAACTCTGGGCAATAAACTGGAGGTGACATCAGCGCATTGAGCAATGCTCTTAGATATTCTGTGGTATTATCATATTGTTTCAGATATGTTGTCTGATCTCACATCTATGTTTTTGCCCCTGTATAATGTCAGCATGTAGCCCAATGAGATTTCCACCCTCCATCCTCTACCGTATTCTCCTGCTAGCCCAAGACCCCATTGGGCACTTGACATGCCTAGTTGTCTCCTACTACTCCGCTTAGCAAAGTCTGAGGCCTTCATCCAAAGTAAATTGCCTTCCTTTGACAAGAGAGCCACTTCCATTGGGGGAAGGCTGCAAACAATTTTGTGCCACTGTTTTAACAGGAATTTAGTATAAGTCAATAAATGGTTTTGAATAGTCAAATAATCAGTGCCATAATATATGCCTAACATACAATTGAGATGAAATGCGATTTGTCTTCATTTTCTATTTCTTTTAAAGAAATTCCTTATGCTCTGCTGCATAGTATCTATTTCTCAGTGCACCCATTTTTTTGATGCCACACAAAATCTGTCTGGCTAGATGTCAGAATAAACCATGCAGGCGTGGCAGAAGGTGATTTGGATTTCCAGAAGCCATTTAAGAGCCATTTAAGAGCCACTATCACCCCTGGTCTCCCTCCCAGATACTAATTCCCGCTCTGTTCTTGCAGACTTTTATTGTTCTGATTTCTCCATATTTAATCATTTTATTAATAATAGTGTCGATGAGATTGATAATAACCACAACCTCTTTCTTTGCAGGTCACGAGGGCAGAATAGGAATGGCATCCATTCGACTAAAGGAGGGCTGCGAGTTTGCTGGAGGTCGGATCTATCGGCATATTGCAGACTTCTTGCCAACATACGCAAGGCCTTATTTTGTGAGGATTCAGGTAGGGCTGCCTTCCAGAGTCCTTCTCCCATCACTGGACCAGACAGAGTTGGAAGTCTGCTTTAGGGGGAAAGGAGTCTGCTCACGGAGGTGCAACGTCACGTGGACAGAAGCTCCTTAGAATTAGCTAGGGCTTGTCTTCTATTTGCATGGAGTATTTTATGTGATGGAAGATTTGGAACTGGAATTTTTCCAGCCACGTGCCCTCCACCCACTGCAGTCTGAAGTGATGCAGTCCATCGCATCATGTCAACATTCTTTTACCTCGTTTCCATCTCATTCTCCTGTACGCAGGCCAACAAGCCCCCCACATTGCATTGTAGGGCATTGCAGACTTTAAAAATTAAAGCTAGAAAAGTTGCTAGCCTGTAAATATCCCTTGCCTGCCTACACTTTTAGTAATTTATCAGTAGCCTGAAATAGGAAACCCTGTCCCTCAAACCTACAAGTTTTACAAAAGAAGTGCCAACTTGTCACCTACAGATGATTCTTCCTCACCACAGGCAGATCAAACAACACAGTCCACAGATCAAGATCTACTGGTGATCTCCGGCCCCAAAGATGCCCACCTAGCCTCAGCCAGAGCCTTCTCGGTTCTGGCCCCGGCCTGATGGAACTCTCCCAAGAGAGATCCGGGCCCTGCAGGACCTATTACAGTTCTGCAGGGCCTGTAAGAGAGATGTTCTGCCAGGCCTATGGTGGCCAAGGTGGCGGAGAATGATCAACTGGCCTTCCCTCCCTGCATCGCTCGTATATCCAGCTACGAGCAAATCATACCGCCATCCATCTGCCTGTCAGTACCAACTGTTTTTTCCACCCTGCACACATTCAGTAGTTGGAGAAATTGAAGGACGCCATATCTTATTAATGCTGCTATTTATTGATGTTATTTATGGTTATTAGTACTGATTTAACTGCTGGGTGGAAATTAGATGTATACATTGTAACATGCCCTGAGCACGCTTGCGGGGGAGGGTGGGATAGAAGCCCAATATATACATTTTTTTAAATGGCTGTAGATAAATGACTCTGTACTAACCTGGGATATATCGCATTGGCTCTTACAGCATCATTACATGTAATTTTTGCCTTGTTGTTACAGGATGCCATTGAAATTACAGGAACATTTAAATACCGGAAGGTGCAGTTAGCCGAAGAGGGATTCAACCCAGAGGTTATTAAGGACGCCATGTATTTCCTGGAGGACAAAGAAAAGTCATATGTGCCCCTGACCACGGACATTTATAACTCAATATGTAACAATAGCCGGAAACTATAATGTGCCCAAAACTTTGTTTTTGTAAAAAAAAAAAAAAAATCAAGAATGTTTTTAAATTTTAGAAAATTAGTGATAATTGATTTGAAAATTATCTCATGTTTATACCTGGAAATGGAAACACCACTTGCATAATGAATATATTTGTGGTAGCAGTGGCCCTTTTAAAGAAATAGTTACATTTCTTCCCAGTGCTGTCTCCTCTTTGTATTGCTGTAGCCCAAACTTATGTTCTTTGATGTAAGATTTATGAAAAATCAGTGGGGCATTTTCACCATGGCAATAACCAGACAAGCTGAGCCTTGTGGACACTGGGGCTCCTTATTCTATGAGAGGTAAATACTTGACTTGGACAGCAGACAATCCCAGGGCACAGATGGTCTATTCCCTCTCCTAGAACAGAAGTCCCTTAACTGATGAGGCTTGTGGGCCACAAACAGAGCCTTATACATATGCACATGGAGCTTTGGAGTATGTAGGCTTCCCCCTTTACTCAGTGGAAGCTGTGTGCAACATCTTCCTGCATAAACGGAGGATAAACCCTTCCTTCAAGTTGTATGGGGTTTACCAAGGCCAGCAGATGGGGGGAGAAACTACCTGGCATCCAGCAGGTCCAGCAGCATGTTTCTGCCCATGCCCACTGGTCTTGAAGAAGAAGCTAGAACAGCAGCAGTGCTCCATAGGCCAGCAGTATGGTTGCCAACCTCCAGGTTGGGCCTGGGGATCTGCTATTACAACTGATCTCCAGACAATAGAGAGTCCCCCTGGAAAAAATGGCTGCCTTGGAGAGTGGACTCTATGGCTCCTCACCTCCCCAAATCCTGCCCTCCCCAGACTGCACCCCCCAAATCTCTAGGTATTTCCCAACCCAGAGCTGGCAACCCTAGCCAGCAGTGATAGTAAAGCCATGTGGCTCCTTTAAAGAACCACACCTAGTAGCTAGGCCTGTTGTCAGCTGGCTTGTGAGGGATGAAGCCACACCAGACACTCGGATCTCACAGGAATACTCACTCCCACTGGATTTTCTTGGGACTTCCTGAATGGGAGAGCCAGCTAAAGGCCAAGGAGGATGTTCCAGGGCATGCTCTGCAAGGCTGTGGAGAGGCCCAACGTGGGAGAGAAGAGATACAGGGTGAAATTAACCCTCTTCTCTCCCAGTCCTGAGGCCACAAAGACCTCCTACAAAGGATGCTGGAGGGCGCTGAAGTTCAGAGGTCCAGCCTGGCAGCCCCAGCCTCTGACACAAGTGAAAGGAAGAATCTTTTCAGGATACACCTGCGCACAGTGGAACTCCTGCACCTGCAAGGCACGGCTGGAGCAGAGCAAACTTGTTTAGGATTAGTGCCGGGAGCAGATATAATAGGGCAGTTTTCAGTAAGGGAGGCCAGATGGTTGGGCGTCTGCCGCCTCAACTAGAGGCCTAATAAACCAAGAAGGGATCACAGTTATCCATACAGGAAATACACCAAACAAGCGGACACCGTGATGTGAATGACTAAGACGTTTAGTAAATCTTTTCAAGGTAAACATATTATATTATATATAAAACTTTGCAATATTAAAAGGAAAAGTCCATCATTCTCCTGGAACCAGAAGTAACTTCTAATTTTAAAAATAAATAAATAAAATAACTCCATTTAGCTTCATGTTGCTTTTCATTTTAAATCACATGGTTTTTTCCAGGATAATTTGAAGAAAATAAAGAAGTTAAGCATTGATATTGAGCTATCAAGAGGCTGACACCTTTTGACATAATAGGATTACTCCTGAGGAAGACTGGGACAAAACGAGCTTATATCCAGGTGCTCATTGAGAATAATGGACTTTTCCTTGTAATATTGCAAAGTTTCATTTATAATATGTTTACCTTGAAAAGATTTACTAAACGTCTTAAGTTTATTAGTTTCACAGGGCCTGTAAAACAGAGCTGTTCTGCCAGGCCTCTGGTTGATACAGCAAACAAGCAGACACTGTGATGTGAATGACTTAAGACGTTTAGTAAATCTTTTCAAGGTAAACATATTATATTATATATAAAACTTTGCAATATTAAAAGGAAAAGTCCATCATTCTCCTGGAACCAGAAGTAACTTCTAATTTTAAAAATAAATAAATAAAATAACTCCATTTAGCTTCATGTTGCTTTTCATTTTAAATCACATGGTTTTTTCCAGGATAATTTGAAGAAAATAAAGAAGTTAAGCATTGATATTGAGCTATCAAGAGGCTGACACCTTTTGACATAATAGGATTACTCCTGAGGAAGACTGGGACAAAACGAGCTTATATCCAGGTGCTCATTGAGAATAATGGACTTTTCCTTGTAATATTGCAAAGTTTCATTTATAATATGTTTACCTTGAAAAGATTTACTAAACGTCTTAAGTCATTCACATCACAGTGTCTGCTTGTTTGCTGTATCAACCAGAGGCCTGGCAGAACAGCTCTGTTTTACAGGCCCTGTGAAACTAATAAAGTTAAGACAATTATCGAGGTCGGGATGGCATACATGGTTCTCCTCTCCTGTCCCATCCCTGTGAGATAGGTTTAAGAGTGAGTGACTGGCCCAGTCTTCTCCAAGGAGCTTCATGGCTGAGACAGGATTAGAACCCAGGACTTTCTGGTTTTACTGCTGGGGGAAAGAAAGGAGAGAGAGCCAGCAGGATGTTGTGGTTCATCTGACATTATCTCCATGAAGAATTTCTGTTTGTCCCAGAACTGTTGAAAATAGAGGCGCTGGGCGGTGAGGACTGTTCAACTCTATAAAAGCAAAGCACCTTAGAAGCATAAGACTATGCAGAAACCTTGATATGTGACAGATTGTCATGGAGTTCAGCCACGTGGTGTTCCTGTGCCATCAACTGGCCTCACTGAGGAGCAATGTCACATTTAAGTTTAGCCGTCAACCTTGTGTTGGATCCCCAAGCATCGAGAATAAATCCACGTTTTAAGAAAAGCAAAATTTATTTCAAAGCGTTGACGACATACTCAAACACGTTCTTTGTTAGAACTGGGGATACACAGTTAGCTCAAGCATAATAAAGGAACTTCAAAGAGATACAGGTCCAATGAATAACTTTCCCGCTGGCGGGCTAATGGAACGGTTGCGCGCCCAGTCCATGGGAACCAGGCAGGATATTAGACATAACACAGGTGCAGTAGTCATGGGAAAAGCAATAGCCAAGCATTACAGCATCTTCTCCCCCACACAACCTCCAGCAGTTATCTTTTGCATTCCAACGCAGGAGCAGGATGATAGAAACCAAGCCGGGTGCAACAGGGAATGAATATGTACACATCCGCCAGCCGGATTGCTGACGCCTCCTTTTCCCAAATCCCCCAGTTACGTTCAGCGTCAGAAAACTTTTTAGACACAAATGCGAGGGGATGTAAACGACCATCCTCCCCCTCCTGCATAATCGCGGCCCCCATTGCCACATCCGAGGCATCAGTTTGGACAATGAATTTCTTAGTTTCATCAGGGCGCGCCAGCACTGGCTCAGGGGTGAACATCAGTTTAAGTTTCTCAAAAGCCTCTGCGCAAGCAGGGGACCATTTAAGCGGGGCGCCCGGTTTCGTAGCATCAAACCCCTTTCCCTTGGTTTTGAGCAAATCAGTCAGGGGAAGGGCAATTTGAGCGAAATTCTGGATGAAATTTCTGTAAAAATTGGCAAATCCGAGGAACATTTGCAATTGTTTGCGGGTCCTGGGGGGCTCCCAGTCAAGTACTGCCTGAATTTTAGCAGGGTCCATTTCAACCGTCCCCCCAGAGATGCGATAGCCCAAAAAGTCAATGCATGTCTTGTGGAAGGCCCTTTATTCAACATAAGCTTGTTTTCATGCAGTTTGTACAGGATTGCAACATTCAGATTTTTCTGAATGTTAAAGTAGTTTAACCAATATGTGAAGACTCGCCTACCATGCATAACGAATGGAAGCAGGGTTCCAAAAAGAAAAGTGAAACTTTCGATGCCATGCTAAATAACTTTTATTTATACCTTAAACTTATAAATATACAGGTTCTTTAAAAAGTGACACAAGCACAGTCTTCTGAAATGAATATTCCCATTCTTTTAAGTATCGAACCGGGTCATAAATTGTATTGCATGAGAATAAGCAGACTTTGGTTCTCGCCTACTTGGGGAAGGCCACAGGAGCTAAGGCACTAGACGGTGGCTTGCAGGGGGCAGCAAGGCAGCTGGAGGCCGCACTGAACAGTGCATTCGGGGAAACTAGGAACACGGTAAAATTTCAAGAATTTCTTGAAGGCACTTTTCTCGAGCATCAGCACCTCTTCCGGCAACTTGGAAAGGAATTTCTCAGTGGTGTTAAACCCGCTCTTC